GATGTTCACGTCGATTCTTGTCACAGCTATAAAATCTCAGGCAAATGTCTCATTTGTAAAACAGGAGTCATAATAAGATTTAGTGAAAATCCATTGTGCTAAGTGTGGCATTAGGCATGTGTCTAGTATGTGTAAGTCTTCCCTGTTTGCACCTTCTATGGTGGTTAGGAAGTAGGACGGAAGTCACGTGAAAGCCTCAAACCCAGGTGCTTAGCAACAGTGTTGGTTGAATTTGCACTTGGGTTTCTAAGGGAAATGCTTTTTGTGGACTATGGTGGTGTGCGGGTGAGCAGGTTAGGGAAAGAGAGAAAAGATGGTTAAATCATTTAGCTTTTGCTGCATTACAAAGCAGCCCAACATTTAGTGGATTGAAATAGCAGCTATTTTATTTAAAGCACGATTCTATAGACTAGCAAATATTTGCAGTTGGGTATTTCTTCTGGTCTGGTCTGTTTGGCTCAGACCTGTGGTCAGCTGGTACAGTAGCAGCTCTGCTGGCTTGTGGGAAGGCCTCAGCTGAGAAAGCTGCTGACTAGCGCCCTCCGTGTGGTGTTTACTACTGGGAAGATCACTGAAGTTTATTAACACTGAAGTGAAATACACAAGATTTTGAAAGTCTCTGCTGGCGATGTATAGCCAGGACCAGAAGTTTAAATCATTGTACCTTCTGGTATAGGGACTCTCTCTTTCAATTAAAAAAAAATCATGGTAAAATGTGCTCAATATAAAACCTCAGGCTAGGAATTAATCTCTTGTGCTATTTCCAAAGTTATCTCTGGGTCTAGGGATATATCTCAGTTGGTAGACTGCTTGCCTAGCATGTATAAGGCCCTGGGTTTGATTCCCAGGAACACCACATCCCCAGATGATTCCCCCCAAAAGACCCCTAAAATCATCTGACCTCTTTGATAACTTGGTATATGTAACCTTTGATTGTTTAGCTATAATTAAATTCCTAAGAAAAGTATGACTTTCATTCCCAGTCTATTTATGTCTGAATATGTGGTTAGATTAAAATGTTATCTAATCCTAAAACATAGTTTGAGGGGGTCTCTGAATTCTAATTTGTGTCAGAGATAATGAGGTCCCTGACATTCGCACAACGTGAAAGGAAAGACATTGATAGAATTTCTTATTTATAATTCTTAGTTGTTGAAAGAGACAAAGAATAGTTGCTTTAGCTCTGAAAATATTAGGAATCTTTAAGGGGGTTGTGAAGGGCTATGGTTGTCAAGTAAATAATTGAAGTATGAGGAAAGCAAATGTTGCCACTTTTTCATCTCAACAGTGATAGAAATAGACACGATATATTCTCCTAGTAGACATTCTTTTGATTTTTTATGGACTGGTTTAGAATTAAGCCACAAAAATGTTTGAGCCTTATCCCTGAGTTAAATTTTATGTATTTATTTTACATTACACTGAATTTATTTATTTTGAGACAGTCATCACTGTAGCAGAGTTTGGCCTGGAATTCACTGTGTAGCCCATGTTATAATGTGTTCTTTTGGTGTCTGTAGTGTCCTCACATTGGTGGTGGTGGTTCTCCCCTACATACCTCTCAAATGCCCATTAGCTTTTAAAAAGTGACTCTTTAATTGGTTAGAGTAGTTTTAGTTTATTGCATTAGTAATTTATTAGACCTCAAGATATACATGGTCTGAGGCTTAATAGAAATACATAGGATTTAAAAATAGCCCAGTTTAGTAAGTGTTTGAGCATCTATGAAAAGCCACACCTCTTATTAGCATTTATAAAGTTGCAGGAGACGTGCTACAGACACTTCAACTAGATGGAATTTTCCAGTTATTAGGGCCCCAGATTCTGTTTTTCTCAAAAAGGAGTGGGAGTGGGGAGTGTCAGTTGGGTGACATAAAACCATTGCTGTTGGTGCTTCTAAGAGGATTTCACAGCAGTACACACACTGCTAGAACCAGTGTCACTCCATTTTCTAGCAACTGTCAGTGGGGAGTAGCTCTTGCTAGGAGTGGGCATTGTGCCCACCTGCCCTTCTCCGTGCTGGTATCTTGTCTGGTTTGAAACTGTGAGGTCTTGTGTGTGCTGTGGCAGTCTCTGGTCATATGTACACCAGCCCTGTTGTGTTTGGAAGATGCCTCATCTCTGAGTCTCTATCACCTCCGAGTCTTAACAGTCTTTCTGTCTTCTCTCCTGCATGGATCCCTGAGCCTTGAAGGGAAAGCTCTGATTCTGGCCAAGGGCTCCAAAGTCTCATTGTACACATTGTCCAATCTGTGTCAGTCACCATTACTACGAGAGGAAGCTTTTCTGATGAGGGCTGTGAGCTGCACTGGTCTCTGGATGTAGTTTAATGGTTGCTTGTCTAATAAGATGGAGGCTCTTGCTTCATGATTTTTCTTCCTTAGTCCTGGAATTTGCTGCTGCCCTTAAGAAGTCCTTCTTTCCAGGAGAGGAGGTTTTTTGCAAACTCAGATCTGCACTGGGCGTGCTCAGTAGTGTTGGGGTGCCATGTCCTGGTATCCTTGAATCAAAAAGGCTTGGCAAGATCGTTTTGAAAAACTCATTTTGAAAGCTCTAGTTGAGGTTCATCACTACAGGCTGTTGGTGTTTGCTTCTGGTTCCTGGTTTCAAACTTACTCAGTGCCAGTCCCAGTGACAGTAGTTACCATGGTACAGTTGGTTCAGCTATAGTGAGAGTGGCTTATCCCCACTTTTACCCATCTCATGGGTGCATTCGTAGTTTGAAGTTTTGCTGGTTGAAATGTTAAGAAGTGGTCCCTCATGTAGCTTTAATTTAAGTTCATTTCTTCTTACCTTTATGAGGAGCAGTTGGGTAGATTTGTGTGTGGTACCAACCTTTTTTTCTAATCCAAGAGACGGTTTCTCTGTGGCTTTGGAGCCTATCCTGAAACTTGCTCTGTAGACCAGGCTGGCATGGAACTCACAGAGATCCACCTGCCTCTGCCTCCTGAGTGCTGGGATTAAAGGCGTGCACCACCAACGCCTGGCTGTGTGCTACCAATCTTTAGTCCACTGTCTACTCCCTTTTCAGGGTCTCATTTGATTTAAAAAATTGTTTACATATGGATTTCTTACCTCCTCAAATACACAAAGTAGCCTCATAATTTTCTTCTCCTTCCCTTTCCCTTTCCCTTTCCCTTTCCCTTTCCCTTTCCCTTTCCCTTTCCCTTTCATTTTCCCTTCCCCTTCCCCTTCCCCTTTCCTTCCCCTTCCGCTTCCCCTTCCCCTTCCCTTTGGAGACAAGGTTTCTCTGTGTAGTCCTAGCTGTCCTGGAACTTGCTCTGTAGACCAAGCTGGCCTTGAACTCAGAGATCTGTCCACCTCTGCCTCCCAAGTGCTCGGATAAAGGTTTGCACCACCACCTCCTGGCTTTAATTTTCTTTAAAAAAGATATTCTTTAAAATGTTTTATGGTTAAAAAAAAAGTTTTATGGTATTTGTTGCAAACATTTTCTTCCCATAATTTGTCTTGTTTGGCTTATAATATTTGTCTTACATCATTTAATAATTTTAAACTTTGTGCTGCTTCCTTCCCACACATGAAGTAGCCTACTTTATATAAATATTGTTTTGCCACAGTTGGAAAGCCTTTCCTACAGTTAGGCTTTAAATGCATTCTTACATTTTCCTCTAGAGTTTATAGTTTCTGTTTTTGCAGTTACTGTTTATCCATTTGGAAGTTTGAGATGCATATCCAGTGTAATCTTTCCCTAAACAACTGTGTAATAGTTTGGACTTTCTGGGTTTTCTAGTCTGTTGAGCTGCCCAGAGACCCGACCTATAGGGTATTTTGTATGGTTACCATGTTCTGACTATGTCAGCTTAGCAGTCTCCAGGCTGGTGGCACTAGGTTTTCTGATATTTCTTGTTCGTGTGTAGGATTAGGTCAAGGGTCAGTGTACAACTGTCCCTTTGAGTTCCCAGAGGAAGGGACTGGGCACAGAACATGACTTCCTGTCTTCTCAGCAAGTCCAGTGTTACATTTTCACAAGATTTGTTTTAGTGCAGTTCTTGTAGTTCTTTGGTTTGCAATAATAATGAATCTTGACAAGTAACAGAGCAAATATAAGAAACACCTAGTGTTTACACAGAACACATGAAACAGTAGGTACATCATGTTCTTAGGTGATTGGCAGGTCTTGGCAAATGGAAGTAGCACTGGGTAGAACGTGGTAGCAGGCCAGCCTGAGATTGGCTGAAATGGTTGATGCTGAGAAAGAAGACAAATGTCTGACAGGTTTCTTTACTATTTTTTTTTTTTTTTCTGCATGGTATATGATTTTACAGAGTGGAGTTCATGCTATACATAAGATATCATATCCCACACAAATCATTCATAAATCATATTTTAAGTTATTTGTGGGCCAGGCATGGTGATGCGTGCCTTTAATCCCAGCTCTTGAAAGGCAGAGGCCAGAGAATCTCTTGAGTGTGAGGTCAGCCTGGTCTACATAGTGAACTCCAGGCCAGCCAAGGCTACAAAGTGAGACCCTGTCTCAAATGAACAAACAAATAAGTAAATGAATAAACAAACAGATAAATGGTTGCAAAGTGAGACCCTGCTTCAAATAAACAAACAAACAAATAGAAACACTTGGCCTGGTATGTACAAGGCTTCGGTTTTGATCTTCAGCACCAGAAGAATCTTATGCAATATTTCACAAATGGAAGGACTGTTCTTAACTTGTATTTTATTTTCAAGCATATTTGTCTCCTTCTTTCAACTAGAACGTGAGCTTATTAAGGAGAAGTCACCTCCTGTGTCGTCCTGTGTCTGCTACAATGCGTATAGAGAATAGTGAATATGATGGACACAAGTATTTTTGTTTGCTTCTCAAATATTTTTAGCCTAAGTATTTCAAGAATTATTTGCCATAGGAAGCCAATAATACCAAAAAGAACACAGGAAGAATTGACCTGGAGACTGTAGCCCATGTGGGCATCCTCACCACAACCGGATATCTCCATTCCTTTTCACCTTTTGTTTTTCTTGGTTTTCAGGAAGAGATGAGACCATGCAACCCGCAAAGCCATCTTTCCTTGAATACTTTGAACAAAAAGAAAAGGAAAACCAAATCAACAGCTTTGGCAAGAGTGTATCTGGCTCTCTGAAAAATTCTTCAGATTGGAAAATACCACAGGATGGAGACTATGAGTTTGTGAGTAGTGGGGAAAGGACTGGCAGTGACACACATCCAGCCTAGTCATCTTCCTTACAGTACCTGAGCACTTGCGCATTGCATAAGTTTGAGCCTCCCATCACTGCTTCTTTGATAATCTGTGTGGTCATTTACCAAAATGAGGTTTTTGAATACCACCATGTTCTTGACACTATTATAGAGGCCTGTAGAAGAAAACAGGTAGATGAAGGCCATCCCTTATAGAGATTCATTCTAGAAGAAGGAATATAAGTGAAGCATTTAGTGTGTGTGTGTGTGTGTGTGTGTGTGTACCTTTTAAAAATAGCATATTGAAGGAAAAATAGAGTCTAGCTAAGAGAATGAGGATATGAACTATGTAAATATCCAGAGAAACAGCTTTTCTGGTGGTGAGAATGGCCGATGCAGGGACCCTGCAACATCTGCAGGACAGGGAAGAAGTGGTGTGCACACGGAGTGGCGTCAGACAGTACCCAGTGGGGATGAGATGAGGAGGTAGGAGAGCCAGACGGGACTGCGTAACGGTTAGGACTTCAGCTTTTCCTCTTGAGTGACATGGGGAAACCCTCGGCTAGAAGCATCTGAATCCACTTTATAATTTGAAGCTTGTATTCTGGTCCCTCTGTCATACAGAGCAGGTGGAACATGGATGCAGTGTTTTTTAATCTGCTGTACAAAGGAGGCCACAAATAGGGGTGCATCTGCTGCCATTCTTTGTGCAGGTCTTTGCTGTCTGTCTTTTCTTGTGAATTAATGATGGATGCTTCTTACAGCACTCTGCCTGCTGTCGTGAGGCTGAGTAAATTCAAGCTTTGAAGTGGGCCCCTTGCTCCTTCATGTGGCCTGTGGAGTTGTCTTCAGTGTAGTTGTAAAGACTGGTTTTCTTAGTTAGTGGTTCTTTAAGGAAGCCTGTAAGCAACACCACTGTTGCCTTACAGTGAGAAAGGGCCCTTGAGTCTGTATTTCTGTCTGGGTTTTCATGTTTTAGATACCATAGAAATAGTAATCTTGAGATTGCAGTCATTCTAATGCTGTCACTGTTCTTAGTAGTTCTAGAGTATGAAGAGTTCCTTTATCTTTCCCCTGGTTTTCTCAAGCTGAGTCATTAGCAAAAAGAGCCTGGTTTGACAGGCAAGCTGTTTCTGCAGAGAGATTTCCATTGGTCTTCAGAGAGTGCTTACTGGAAGAAGGTGATGCCTAGAGAGAGTTGGACCCCATGAGGGAACAAGTTAATACCAATCTAGTCGGTACTTCAACCAAGACTGTCTTCTAATCCAAAGGCTTGAGCCACACCCAGCTCCTAGACTTTTCTGTGTGTCCTGGTCAGTATTAAAAAACTGAAACTTGCCAGTTGGTGGTGGCACATGCCTTTAATCTCAGTACTCAGGAGGCAGAGGCAGGTGGATCTGTGAGTTTGAGGCCAGCCTGGTATTACAAGAGTGAGTTCCAGGACAGCCAAGGCCACACAGAGAAATCCTGTTTTACAAAACAAAACAACAAACAAACAAAACTAAAACAACAACAACAAAATAAAAACAAACTAAAACTCCAGTTGCTCATGTTTAAAACTTGATTTTACATAAAATGCTGTATTTCCAGATCTGGCTACAGTTCTAAGGTTATTACTAATGGATGATGGTTATTTGGGTTCAGTAGCAGCTGCCCTATTTGAGCATGGCTTCTCCAGTTTTCCTCTATACCTGGCCATCTTCACTCTTTTTTACTGATAGTCTGACCTATTTCACACTCATTGATATTGCTGTTAGGACTTTTGTTCCAAATACAATAAGAGTCAGCCAACCTGTTGTGATATAAGTTTCTGTTTTTATCTTCAGAATGCCAAGAGAATTCATTAAAGTTACATATACACACCACAGCATGCATGTGGAGGTCATTAGACAGTTTATGGGTATGAGTTCTCTCTATCCACCATGTAGGTACTGGGGATCCAATTCAAGTGCATGGGCTTGGTGGCAAGTACCTTTCCCCACTGAACCTTCTTGCCAGCCTGAAAATTCATTTTTATATGGAGTTTAATTTTTAGTTTTGATTATGTGTTCATGTGTGGCTCTGTGTGAGAGTGTGTGCACATTGAGTACACATACACATAGTACAGTGCCTACAGAGGCCAGAACAGGCCACCAGATGCCCTGGAGTTGGAATTACAGGCAGTTGTGAGCTACTGTGGGTGCTGGGAAATGAACTCAGGCTTTCTGGGAATATGTATATATATATATATATATATATATATATACACACACACACACACACACACACACACACACACACAAACACACACACTCTTAACTCCTAGCTATTTCTCTAGTCCCCTGAGAATTTGTTCTTTTAAATTCTCTTTTAAGGGTTTCATATTTGAGTAATGAAAGAAGGTAGAATTAGGATGTACATGAAATAAAACTAACAGATAAGTGAAGACTACCTCTAATGCCTTGATATTATAACCATTACCACAATCTTAAAGCAAGGATTTGGTATAACAATAACTCTTTCTGCCAGCTGCCTTAGTTCTGCTGCCATGTTAGGGCCCCCAAATAACACACCCAGTCTTATATTAGTTATAATGTTGCTGGCCAATGACTAGGATTTCTTATCTGCTAGCTCAGTCTTAATTATCAACCATAACTACCGATCTGTATATTTTTATAAGGACTTATCTTACCGAGGATGCTGGCAATAATCATCCTATCTTCCTGGGATCACATGGTGACTCCGGCTCTTTCCTACATTTCCCAGAATCCTCCTCGACCTCCTAGCCCCACCAATCTTGCTTTCTGATTGGCCAACAGTGCTTTATTTATCAACCAATAAGACAAATATATACACAGAAGGACTTCCCCCATCATTTGGAGTGGTTGTCTAAATGATGGCATGCAAAGTGGTTGCAGTACCAGCAGTTGTCATTGTCATCAGGATGTGTTGAACTGGAATCTCTGAGGGCAGCTCCAGGTGGTGCTGCAGCCTGTTCTTCTGGTGACACTAACCCCTGAAGGTCTGACCTTGATGATTCTCAGCGTGTAGTGTATCATTATACAAGTTTCTTTTTTCTTATTGGGTACCATAATTCAGAGGTAGAGAATATTAATATTTTGTTAATAGTGTTTGATTTTTTTAAATTTCTTTCTTCCTTTGAGTCTCCTGTACTTTGGAAATATCAAAGAAGTACATGGGACATGGAGAATGTATCTCTCTAAATCCCTGAGTTGTAAAGGCACACTGCATTGAGGGAAGGATGCCTGGGCAATCTTAGCCAGCTTAGGAGATGGGTATCTGTGAGGCTAACTAACATTGTTACCTCAGCAGCTTCAGAGAGAGGCTTCAGCATTTAATTATCAAAATGATATCCTCTTTCCTCCTGAGAAGGCAATTGCTTTTTGAGAATGAACTTTTTACCCAAAATGGGACATAGGAAATAGTTTAATCAGAAGTGGCATATAGAAATGATATTTCTATAAACTGATACTCCATACATAAACAGTCACATTTATTGAAAAGAATATTCCTTTTTGAGAACTCACATCCTCACTTTGCTATTCCTAATGCCACAAAAACCTTGAAATTTAAATCCATTTTGGTTCATGAATCTTCACAGCAAACCCAAACCACCCTGTAATACTTTTGTTTAAGATGACTTGCACATGAATAACCCCATAAGGCAGCACAAGGCTACAGCTCTCTGAAACTGTGTGAGTGTTGGTCTGCCAGGATGTTTAAAACCACCAACTGTTTATTCAAAACTAATTTCTTCAAAGTACCAGAACTTGAATATTGATTGTTCAGATTCCCTGGATAATCATAAGCCAGTTAAGCTGGCTTTTTGTAGGAGGGAAGGGTAAATTTTAGTCCTGAGTTTCCCCCAAGAGGCTAGCAAGGATTTCTTGAAACTTTACCTTAACCATTTTTTATCTAGATCAGGGCTGATTGTAAATTGAGATTTCTTTGGGGTTTTATAAAGAGGCTTTACTGAATTGTCACAACATGGCCACTCACTCATTCTTCACTACGTTTCACATTTTGCTTTTAACTATCTATACTCCTTTAGAAATTAGAAACTGGATGGGAGGCGAGGCTTACCATTGTCTTACTATCAGCCTGCTCGACTTTGTGGCAGGGGTGCTTGGGTAGCCACACTCAATACTTTCAAAGGCATATTATTATGTTTTCTGGGAGCCCAGATATCTACAGTTTAAGCCATTGCCTGCTATTTTATGGAGACAAAAGGACATTCTAAAGCATAGTATTTGAGCTTATTTTCCATTGTTTCAAAATGAATTTTACAAATTAGCTCCTTTTCTGAAACAGGGCCTGTCTCCATGGTAAGATAGAATGTAGTGAGTGCTGTCGTCACCCAGCTACAGCAGTCAGTTCATTCTTGTCAGATCCTGTCCTTTCCATTCTCTCCCCTTACCCTTGGTTTGTATATGTATGTATGCATTTATAAATATAAGCATATAAAATCCTTATAGATAAAGATTTAAAGACTCCTTTACATTCAGTAACTCAGTGTACCTTTAAAAATTCAAAATCATTGGCTAATGTCCTAAAGCACTTGTTACTATGTAGTTTCCTCCAATCTTACTTTCAAAGTTTGCTTTAGAATCCTAACAAGATTCTCTTTTTTTGAATAATCTATCTAATTTTATGTACATTGGTGTGAGGGATCCCCTGGAACTGGGGATCTGATGTCAGCTGCCATGTGGGTGCTGGGAATTGGACCCAGGTTCCCTGGTAGAGCACTCAGTGCTCTTAACCGCTGACCCATCTCTCCAGGCCTCTAACAAGATCCTTATGTGGCAGCTGGTTGCTGTATTAATCAGGGTTCTCTAAAGGAACCCATCTGATAGAGTGAGCGTGAGAGTGTGTGTGTAGCATAATACGCACGTGTGTGTGTGTGTGTGTGTGTGTGTGTGTGTGTGTGTGTGTGTATGCGTGTGTGTATGGGATTAACTAAAACCAGACAGCTGTGAGAGATTTTCCTTGGT